ACAGGGATTCCGTGCATTATAAAACGAACGAGCCCTGCAAGCCAAAAGAGAGCTTGCTGGTGAATTCCAGGCTGGAAGGACTCTACTCCCATCCTGCTCTGGGCTGACTCTGGAGCTTGTACCTCTGGTGTTCTTCCAGATGCCTTCACACCAGGCCCACCTACCTTGCAACAACAGTTGGGACCAACCATAACAAGGCTCAGGCCCTGTCCACCTGCTCACAGCCACTCCCAGGTCATTCCCTCTGCTTCCTATGTTGTTTACCTGGCCACTAGCTCTGCCCTTCTCTCTGCCCCCGCATCCCAAGGCCTTGGCCAAAGGGTCTGGCTCTTCTGGTTTTGATTTGGATCTCCCTAGACCTCAGCCTGAGTCTATCCTTGTGCTCTTTGTGCTTCTGGCCGCCCTGGGAAACTACCTGCCTGGGTGGTTGGGGCTCTGGACCCCTACCTTCCTGAGACCCTGATTGCCTCCCCCTTCTGAGTTGCTGGACGATCTCAAGCTCCTTTCCTTTCTCTCCTGAGCTTTTCTGCTGGGGCCCTGATCTTGAGGTCAGCCTCCTCTCCCTGGTTCTCCTGGCCTCCCAGAGGACCACTCCTTTTTCCCCTTAGTTCAGCAAGACAAGGTTGCAACATTTCAGAAAGAACATCTTAAGTAGGAAGCGAATGGAAAAACGAGCCTGAAAAACCAAAAGGAAAACACAGCCCCCTAGAAATGGACCAGTTTACAGAGTTCAGATTTCCTGTCCAGAGCTAGAAAAAGTCTAGCCAGGTTGGCTGGTAAGCAGGCCAGGGAATCCTGCCCATGAACATTCCCCTCACCCCACATGCTCCTTCTCTTCCCCTTCAAGGAGAGAGGTTACTGCTGAGCAGTGAATGAACTGAAGGGTTTCTTCAGGCAGAGGGGTCCTTCCTGCCATGGACCATAGGCAGAGCAGGAGGTGGAGGAGGAAAACATTTTTTTTTTTTTAATGTTTATTTATTTTTGAGAAAGAGAGACAGAGCGTGAGTGGGGGACGGGCAGAGAGAGAAGGAGACATGGAATCTGAAGAAGCAGGCTCCAGGCTCAGAGCTGTCAGCACAGAGCCCAACTC